CGTGGGGTTTTAATTAAATTAATTAATTTAGTGACGTCGAGTCCAAACTGTGATCAGCTTAAGCGCAAAGCAATTGAGGATGATAGGGATGTATATCCAGCTTTACTATTTTTCTTGATACACGAATATGAGGTTTAAAGTATTCACCCGCTTAGTTATTGATGAGTGGAAAGCTAAAGTCATCTTTTTCTGTCAAAAATGAATTGTTGAAACTACGTGTCGTAGATGGAGCTTAGACAGTGTTTGCTGTCACGTCAGCAAAATATCACAAAGTATTATGACAGTGGACAATCCAAATTTAAGGAAGGGGACAATGTAAGGATGCTACGGGGACAAAATTGGGAACCTGCTGTTGTTACAACTTAACATGAATTACCCCGCTCATATTATAGTTAGGACTAAAGACGGAAAGTCGTACAGGCGTAATCGACATTTCCACAACACTTAGGAGCAGTAGTCTAATGGTATGGTATCAAATCCGTATCCGTCAAATCAAGGAACAGTGAAATTACTCTGTTCCCTGGTCAAATGTACTAACTGTGCAAAAGTTGCCGATAGACACACCAGCAGTAAGAGTGGACGTACCAGTTAAGTGTAAAAAAATGTTATGTTGGTTAAACCGGACCGACCCTAAAAAATCGGCCGACCCTAGACATTTTTATTTAAATTTCACCATACAAGTTTACGTTACCAAAGTAAGCTTGAGGCTTCACTTAAAATGTTTCAAGAGTGTTCCAAATGCGAAAGATATGACAATTAAGGGATTTTAAGGCTTATTTAATTGATTTTATAGATTTCAAGATAAAAAAAAAATCCCCATCTACCTACCCTATTTTTTGGGCCCGTTACGCCAATATTATAACATTTTTTAGGCCTTAATGCATCGCGGCCAAACCGTGCGCAGGAGTGAGCGTATTATACGTGCTCTAAGCAGATTGTAGTATTAAATAATAATCTGAATAAGCATTACTTAATATACTAACATGAATGACTGATGACTGGTCCATGCATTAAGGTTTTTTTTAAAATTATTATTTAATACTCTCACTTTACCTCTTTAGTAATATTAAATTTATGAATTTATTTGATAATGTTCAAAATGTTGTGTTTTAATTTAATATAAAAGATAACATGTTATGTTTACAGAAAGGATTTTTAAGTTTAAAAATGTTGAAAAGAAATATAAACTTTAGTATGTTTTAAGAGAATGTTGCTGTTAAAGAATATTTTAAGTTTACTGTTTATCCCAAAGAAAATAATTAGTATGTTTAAAGATAGTTTTGGATATCATAAGGAGAAACCTTAACAATGCAGTGGGTTAAAAACAGTTCCTGTACGATGTACTGTATTGTCTTACAATGAATGTTGTTGTTAAAGAATATTGTATGTTTAATGTTTATCCCAAAGAAAATAATTATTGTGTTCAAAGATATGTTTTGATATTTTTGGACAGCCTATTTCCTAAAGTAAGGAGAAACCTTAACAATGGAGATGGTTGAAAACAGTTCCTGTAAGATGTATTGTCCCATGCTAAATATCAAAAAAATCATAAAAATATTTTTTGAAATTAACTTGCCCATTTTGAAGTTACTTGAAAGTTATCAACTTGAACATTGAAATTAGCAGGGAACTGTTCCCTGGAAATTAGGGTTTTATTTTTAAATGTCTACCCATCAGTTTACAACGAAAAATGATAGAAACACTTCCAGTCACTGGAAGTGTTTTGTTATTTTTATTATAATTTGTTGGTTTAAAAATCAGGGTACACATTTTATAAATTCAATTATTTCTATGCACAAGTTAATAAGGTGTATGTTATTGCAAAATGAGCAAGTTTATTTCAAACTTATAAACTCACTGTGAAAAGTTTCTTGCTTTCGTGCAAGTTCTACCTACACATGCACAAATGATTGTCAACAGCCAAAATACATCTGCCATATTTATAAAATCCTTAACATACAAAAAATATATCTCAACATTTAGATTAATTGTTTTGGTCGTTAGTAAAAATCCTGAAATAGTGGCAGGAATTGATCCAAGGCTATTCAATCAAGGAAATGACTGTTAAATGTCTATAATAAAGAGATTACACTCTTTTGCATTGAAGCCAAAATATAATAAAGATATAAAAAAATTAATGCCCTAACAATAACGACTTCCATCCGAACAACACTTTTATTATTCCCCTACCAGTTAGTAAACTGTTGCATTTGTGTAGGTTATGCTGTTAATTTGAATGAACTAAAACGACCTAAACTTATTTGAACTATAAATAATCGTTTTAGCTTATTAGTAGATGAGCATTAGTAAGCACTTATAATAGTTACGTGTCATACACTATGTGAAAATTGATATGCTTAGGTTAGATTAATGCATTCAGAAAATTCCAAAGGGCGAAGCCCAAAGGAATTTGTTAATGCATTAAATTAACCTAAGTAAACTAATTTCCACATAATCTATAGATAAGCACTATTCCAATTGCTTTATAAATAAATCGCTCTTTTTTACATCGGTTGCTACTGTGCGCGTACTGCATTTAGGTGTGCGGGCGGGTTGTTGGTACTGTTCATATGAATGGTATATACGTTTGCGCAGCAGTACGATGTATGTTTTGTAATTGTGCTTGAAAAGAAATTCTCAAATAAATACAATTTTATTCAAGCTTTTGGGAGTAGTCAGGGGTGGCGCCAGGATTTGCACGACGGGGGATGGGGGTGGGGGCTAGGTCTCCGACAGGTGCGCCGATATCCCCGATGACTGGGAAGATTTCCCAGACGAGAGAAAAGTGGGCGTGGTCAAGTGAAAACGGTCCAGGGGTGGAAAATTTAGGGGTTTTGAAAGGCTTATTTAATCGAATTTAGAGTTTACTAATATGTGCAAAATACATATAGTTTTTTTCCTCCCCGACGAATTGTGGTTTACTCCCCGACAGAGGAGTGGGCAGCTCTTCGCAACGGTAGCCCCCCCCCCCATTGGATCTAGGCTATAGTGCCTATAATTTCGTTTATTGCGTCTTTGAGATAGGTCTAGATAGGCCTCAAATATTCATATTAATTGTTCAGTTTCTTCAGTTTATTAGGGCCCACTGATTCAAGAAATCCTTTAATTATATAATTTTAAGTGGTTTCTTCGGCTTCTAATATACATTGTTTTTAAGAATGCCATTTTTTAAATCAGCACTTGCCAACAAACAACGATTAGACGAATGTTTTTCCTTCGCAGGTACGCATGTTT